CGATAGTCGAGGTACTCGACTATAGCGTTCTTCCTTATTTTTTGTTAACTGGTGTTATTTATAGCTATTTACGGGCAAGCTAGCTGTGGACATTACTTGGCGTGTAACTGCTGAGAGCATCCAACGATTCTCCACATATTTCATAATATTTGTTTCTTTTAGAAATGACTATTAGTAAATGTCTTATGTCTACGGAGCTGAACATTGTTGAGCAATGCAACAGCATATTCTACATGCCAGGGAACGTGTCTACGAGCGGACAAAGCCCTTAACCAAAAAATAAATGCAAAATATTGAACATAAGTTAAAAACAAGAAAAGAATTTAAAATTCAATAAAAAATAATGCCCACGATGTCTTAAAGTATTGGACCATTCGTGTCCTTAAAAGTAGGGCAAAAAGTCTAAAAATATAAATTTTTAGACAGTGCGTGACCTAAAAATGAACTTTTAGTCCATTTTAAATTGCATGCATGACCTAAAATTTGGTTCATTATTTGTCTGAGTGTAGAACTCAGTTCAGAGAAAATAACTCTTCAGGTTTATTGGACTGCGCCTAGATCGCGCTTGAGTCTTATTATAGCGACTTAAAGTTAGAAGACAAATTTGATATATATTTGGCATATGTATATCTTACAACGATTTCACTTTTAAGTTTTTTAGATATGCACAAAAGAATATAAAAAGCCAAAGCTCGTTTTGAAAGTATTTATACCCGTAAAAAGTCAAAGGGTATACTGGATTCGTCGGAAAGTATGTAACAGGTAGAAGGGAGAGTTTCCAACCCTACAAATAATATATATTCTTGATCGGGATTACTAGTCAAGTCGACCTTTCCATGTCCGTCTGTCGGTCCGTCCGTACGCTGAGATCCCGGAAACTATAAAGGCTAGAACGTTGGGTCTTGGCATGTATATTCTTGAGCTTCTTGCGCAGCGCAAGTTTATTTTGCTCCAACGCTTACCTAGTATACCCTTTTACTCCACGAGTAACGGGCTTCACTTTTCAAAAACTTGTGATATTAAACAAAAACAAACATTCGCACCTTCAACATACAAAAGTTCTAATCTCAAGTTTCTTGACGAAAATGTATTATACGATCTACTAAAGTGCATTTACTCTCTACATTTTTCTCATTTGGCACGCCGCTGTATAATATACCTGTGTAGGTAATAAGCTGTACGATTTTGAAAAAGAGTGCCTATCGATTGACCTAGAAAAAGTTTGGTACACCCACAAACGCTATTAACGCTTAAGTCCGACTGTTCCCCACCGTCTTAAAGATTTTGTAAAGGTGAAAATGGGATTTAGTTTTGTTCGCCCATTTACCTAAAAATTGTTCAAGTCATCACCGCTAGGTGGCTCCCTGAAATCTCGAAAAAAGTCGCTTTGCTGCTTGCATTCTCCATCTCCCTTGCGCTTCCTTTAAGACAATACAAGAGAGTCCGTAAATAAACTCATTTTACATTTAATGGATGTGTTATATATTATTTTGCTGATGTAATATGAACAATTATGCATAGAACATATGGCTCGATTTCCTAAGTCTTTGGTGAAGGCTGATAAACCTATTCGTTCTGCTGCTCACCCTGCTGCCCGTTCTGCCCCCCGTATTGACCATTGGCCAGCTCCTCGTCCATCTTATGTTTCTTGGCATTGAGCAGTTCCCTCTGATCGTAGGCCTCTATACGCTCCTCCAGTTGGTCGACCTCCAGCCACATTTGGGACGCCAGAAGCCAATTCGGCGGTGGATTGTCGTTGATTAGGGTCATCAAAGTTTCCAGACGTTTACGATCCCAGTGATTGGTATTTTCGCTTCGATTGGTCATCAGGTACTGCAGATATTCAATCGGTTGCTTGCCTTTATTCGGGATGATCACACGGTCGGCTGAATCCAGAGTACCGTCGTCCACCGCCTGGCAGGCCTTCTCTTTCAAATCGGGAACAAACGGTGGGCAAGCCGCCGGTTGTTTACATATCATGATGGAAGCGGCCAACGGTTCTGCCTGCGGATTGACCGCCGGCATCAGGTGCGTGGCCAAATGTTGGGATGGCGGTATCTGCAAGGCATTCATCTTCTTGCGCTTCGACGGACCCATTGCCAGGACATTCGTTTGGGTGCCAACTGAACGCCGGGACGCGGTCTCGGTCGTCTGCACTACCCGTACCACGCTCCCCGGTGCGATCATCGAAATGCGTTTCTTTGGGGCCATGGCTGTGGCTAACTGAATATGCCGAAATTGTATAGATTTTTTTACTTTTTATAGAAAGGCGCTAGAGCTTGACGTTGTCGATAAGTTCCGATTGCAATAATTCAGCTGTCACAGGAAAACGAATGGCCTACTAGCTCATCAGATTTTAGGAACAGGGCTGCCACCTAAAAGCCATAACTTAATGTGTTTTTGTATCCCTCGATAGCCAATTTTTCGGTTTACGACAAGACCGATTTATTTTGGACACATATTTTTTATTAACTTTTAGTGTAGGGGAGTGTAGGGTATGAACGACTCGTTTTTTGAATGCCACTTTTCCAAAAATTAATATGTTTTAAAAGTTTAAAAGCAGAAAGTTGTTGAAAGTTACTCGTACAGTAAAAGGGTATACTAGATTCGTCGGAAAGTATGTAACAGGCAGAAGGAAGCGTTTCCGACCCCATAAAGTGTATATATTCTTGATCAGGATCACTAGCCCAGTCGATCTAGCCATGTCCGTCTGTCTGTCCGGACGAACGCTGAGATCTCGGAAACTATAAGAGCTAGGCTATTGAGATTTGGCGTGCAGATTCCTGAGCTTCTTACGCAGCGCAAGTTTGATTCAGCAGAGTGCCACGCCCACTCTAACGCCCACAAACCGCCCAAAACTGTGGCTCCTACAGTTTTGATGTAGAATAAAAATGTTAACTGAAATGTATTGTTCTCATCAAAACCTATCAATTGACCCAAAAAAAAGTTTGCCACGCCCACTTTAACGCCCACAAACCGCCCAAGCCTGTGACGCCCACAATTTTCATCCTAGATAAAAAATTCTAACTGATATGTATTGGTCTCGTCAATACCTATTGATTGATCCAAAGCCCACTCTAACGCCCATAACGCTTAAATCTGTCTACCGCCGGTAGGTGGCGCATTTTAATCTCGCTTTGCTGCTTGCATATCTCCATTTAGCTGAGTAACGGGTATCTGATAGTCGAGGTACTCGACTATAGCGTAATTCCTTGTTTTAACTGGTACACTCACAGAGGATGTGCCAATATACACGCTAAGCCAGGCGTTAATTCAAGATTCTTGTTAGAATGTTTCAATAAAATCAGACCCACAGGTTTTAAGAAATTCGCCTAACAGTGGACCAACCTAGGATTTTCCCATACAAAAAGAGGGACAAAAACCAAATTACCTTCCTTTCTGTAATCCTCCAGGGCCTATTCGATTGTTAATACAAAATTCGAGCCGAAAACTTAAGCCGGGAAGAGAAAGCACTCCTACGCTTGGGCTATTGTCGGGCCTAGAGTCCTCTTCACCTGCGATCGGGTCTAGCGCATTTCCACCTCAGCTGTTAATGAGGCGGCGTTCAGCCCACCCTTCCATTGGCCGTCCCATATGCGTACTTCTCCCACTAGAACAGCCCCTTTGCGCTTCGGTTTCTCGGGGGTCTCATGTCCGCCGAGGACAAACACTTAATTTACCACATTACAAACATTTTTTATTTAATATCCAAGTGATTAAAATTCTCGCAAAATTATCTTCGCACCAAACATAAACCAAGATCAACATCGAATGCAACAACCAAACAGCTAATAAATATAAAATATAATGAATAGCATAAATAACTTATAAGATAGGGGTAGGTGCAATTAATGTAAATATAGTTGTTTTAAATCAAATGCGGCATGCTTTATTAAATTATACATTTTCTTTTTTATTTCTTTTCACTTTTTTACCCTTTTTCTTTCACTGAGAGAAACCATACGGGAGTTTCGGCCGGCTCACAAGGAATCCCAAACGCTTTAGACAAACTACAAGCTCACTTTAAACAAAAACTATAAAAAACAAGGGAGAACGCTATAGTCGAGTACCTCGACTATCAGATACCCGTTACTCAGCTAAATGGAGATATGCAAGCAGCAAAGCGAGATTAAAATGCGCCACCTACCGGCGGTATACAGATTTAAGCGTTATGGGCGTTAGAGTGGGCGTGGCAAATTTTTGTTTGGATCAATCGATAGGTATTGACGAGACCAATACATTTCAGTTAAAATTTTGTATCTAGCATGAAAATTGTGGGCGTCACAGGGTTTTGCGGTTTGTGGGCGTTAAAGTGGGCGTGGCAAACTTTTTTTTGGGTCAATCGATAGGTATTGATGAGAACATTACATTTCAGTTAAAATTTTCTATCTAGCATCAAAACTGTAGGAGCCACAGTTTTGGGCGGTTTGTGGGCGTTAGAGTGGGCGTGGCAGTCTACTGAAACAAACTTGCGCTGCGTAGGAAGCTCAGGAATCTGCACGCCAAATCTCAATAGCCTAGCTCCCATAGTTTCCGAGATCTCAGCGTTCATCCGGACAGACGGACAGACGGACATGGCTAGATCGACTCGGCTAGTGATCCTGATCAAGAATATATATACTTTATGGGGTCGGAAACGCTTCCTTCTGCCTGTTACATACTTTCCGACGAATCTAGTATACCCTTTAACTCTACGAGTAACGGGTATAATTACTTACATATAACCAAAAAAAGAAATGATTTCTCCGGCCAACAATTTGAGATTTTCCCGTTCCGTAACTTTTCCTCTGCTTGACGAGATTAATTAGTTTTCTTAGCGGTCGCCGCTTCTCCCTGCTATCTTTTTTTGCTCCTTCCTTCAGCACTTCCGAACTCGGAAGAAAAAGAGAACAATTTAAAAGCCCTTCACTTTTTGTTGGCGATTAGTTTAGTACCGATTTTGAATATTTAATGAATGAATATAAGTATAATAACTTATTTTAATACACACATGTTTACATATACATGTTTATTCATATGACAATATCGTGTTCTTTTCAGTTAAACATTGCAGTTTCCCACCGATTTTCCTTACAAACTTTGTTTTATAGGGAAATATGGTTTTGCATGATATGAAAATTTGGTGTGGTCTGCTGAAACTTTATGCACGTTCTAGGTCCTTTAACCATCGTTCATAGACATGTCCTAAAATAAGAAAACTATGTTAGCAGGTTAACCAAAACATAGTTAATAATTTACCTTGTAGCTGGCGATCTTAACATAACTCTCCTTGCGTTGGTGGTGAACTTGCAGATCCAAAAATGACCAAAATTGATGAGACTGTGGGAAGACAATTGGGTCAGGCTCAGGTTACGTTTAAGACTGTTTTCTCTCCCGCATGTTAAACTTAAAAAAGGTTTTCAGCTCTAGGTTTGGAGCTAGAATTAAAATTTTAACAGGAATTTATTGGTTTCGTCAATACCTATTGATGGACCTGGAAAAGAGATTGCCACTCTAACGCACACAAACGCCCACAACGCTTAAATCTGTCTGACGCCCATATGACCAAATGTGGTAATCGCCGCTAGGTGGCGCCTTGTAATCTCAAAAAAAGTCGCTTTGCTGCTTGAATATCTTCATCTCCTTTGCGCACCCTTTAATCTGGGTATCTGATAGTCGAGGTACTCGGCTACAGCGTTATGTCAATTGGTATACCCTTGCTGAGGGTATAATGCTTTCCAACGCAGTGTAGTATATATATTCTTGATCAGCATCACTAGACGAGTTCATCTAGCCATTTTGTCCGTCGGCACGCCACAATACAATATGTGTGTGTGGGCAATTATCTGTACGATTTTGATGAAGCGTCCAAAATAAAAAAAATTAGAAAGTGTATCTATTTGGTAGATATCAGAAGTTTTTAAAAAGACAATTAATTTCCTAGTGTTAGTTTTCATATTAGTATGCCCCAATACCATGACCCGAAGTCATGTCGATAAACACGAAACTAAACCCCAGTGTAAACGCAGCCTTATTTAACGTGGCCTATTTCGATATGTACTTTAACAGTGTTATTTATTATACCCTTGCAGAGGGTATATTGATTTCAGTCAGAAGTTTGCAACGCAGTGAAGGAGACGTTTCCGACCCTATAAAGTATATATATTCTTGATCAGCATGACTAGACGAGTCGATCTAGCCATGTCCGTCTGTCCGTCCGTTTCTACGCAAACTAGTATCTTAGTTTTAAAGCTATCGGGCTGAAACTTTCCCAAAAGTCTTATATCTTTTGCAGGTAGTATATAAGTCGGAACCAGCCGGATCGGACAACTATATCTTATAGCTCCCATAGGAATAATAGGAAAAACAAATTTAAAAAAATTATATCTTTGGTGTTTTTTAGCATATACCCTCCTAAGCTTGGAAATAACATTTTTTAATTAGTTTTGAATTTCGAATTAGATTTTATCAAAATCGGAAGACTATATCATATAGCTGCCATAGGAACGGTCGTAAAATTGGTGGAAAAATAATATGAAACAAATTATAGCTTCGGTGTTTTTCAACCTCCAACGCTTGGAAATAACATTTTTTAATTAGTTCTGAATTTCGAATTTAATTTTATCAAAATCGGACGACTATATCATATAGCTGCCATAGGAACGATCGGAAAATTGGTAGGAAAATAATATGAAACAAATTATAGCTTCGGTGTTTTTTGACAAATTATCTTATACTATTGGGAATATAATTTTTTGTTTTTTTTAAATTTAATAATTATAGCTGCAAGGGTATATAAGCTTCGGCTTGCCGAAGCTAACTTCCTTTCTTGTTTTTGTTTCAATTTAAAACTGTCTTCTATTGTACTAAAAAACAGTTATTATCTTCCACAAGCCGGTGTTGCATATTTTACAGCGCATTCGAATTAACCTGAAGAGTTATTTGGTCTGAACTCAGTGTTAGTTCTTGACGCTCAATAACTTCTTAACACGTATTTTCTCGATAATGTGTAATACGTCAAAAGTTGAGGAATCTCTCTCTATCAAATGCACTATGGGGAATTTTGTGGCATTAACAAAATAGCAAAATTTAAAAGTTTTATTTTTTGAAATTAGTATATAAAATTTAAAGGAAGTAAAATAATAAAAATGGTCGTAGTCCCGCCTTTTTTTAAGAAAAAAATTTTTTATTTATTTATTTCCGTTTAGCTAAATCGCCCGATTTTTATTAAACTTTCCATATCGATGTGTTTTGGGCTCTGATTACGGGAAAAATAGTCTAAGTTGGCGCAAATAACGGGATCTTGGAAAATAACGGTAAAAACCGTAACATTTTAGGTTTTTTGCCTTTTTTCCGAAAGTATAACGAAAATCAAAATATGATTCAGACAAAAACAAAAGATATTCATAAAACCGATCCTTTTTGTTAGAATATTGCAATATCCCGCCATATATATGGCGTCAGATAGTTCCGATTAATCGATAACAGCATTTTATGTGAAGGACCTTTTTCGCCCTTTTTTACGATATATCGTGTATATGTTCCTTTTTCCCATTTAGACAACTGAAATGCTCTGCCAACATTTACATTTTACTTATACTTTTCATATAGACTATACTATTTTAATTTCGTGTTCTCAAAAATTTTAATGCCGTTCTTGTATTTTGGTCGTACCATCACTAAAACAACGAGTGACATCGATATCGACACGCCGATACAACAACAAAGTCGCTTTGCTGCTTGAATATCTTCATCTCCTTTGCGCACCCTTTAATCTGGGTATCTGATAGTCGAGGTACTCGGCTACAGCGTTATGTCAATTGGTATACCCTTGCTGAGGGTATAATGCTTTCCAACGCAGTGTAGTATATATATTCTTGATCAGCATCACTAGACGAGTTCATCTAGCCATTTTGTCCGTCGGCACGCCACAATACAATATGTGTGTGTGGGCAATTATCTGTACGATTTTGATGAAGCGTCCAAAATAAAAAAAATTAGAAAGTGTATCTATTTGGTAGATATCAGAAGTTTTTAAAAAGACAATTAATTTCCTAGTGTTAGTTTTCATATTAGTATGCCCCAATACCATGACCCGAAGTCATGTCGATAAACACGAAACTAAACCCCAGTGTAAACGCAGCCTTATTTAACGTGGCCTATTTCGATATGTACTTTAACAGTGTTATTTATTATACCCTTGCAGAGGGTATATTGATTTCAGTCAGAAGTTTGCAACGCAGTGAAGGAGACGTTTCCGACCCTATAAAGTATATATATTCTTGATCAGCATGACTAGACGAGTCGATCTAGCCATGTCCGTCTGTCCGTCCGTTTCTACGCAAACTAGTATCTTAGTTTTAAAGCTATCGGGCTGAAACTTTCCCAAAAGTCTTATATCTTTTGCAGGTAGTATATAAGTCGGAACCAGCCGGATCGGACAACTATATCTTATAGCTCCCATAGGAATAATAGGAAAAACAAATTTAAAAAAATTATATCTTTGGTGTTTTTTAGCATATACCCTCCTAAGCTTGGAAATAACATTTTTTAATTAGTTTTGAATTTCGAATTAGATTTTATCAAAATCGGAAGACTATATCATATAGCTGCCATAGGAACGGTCGTAAAATTGGTGGAAAAATAATATGAAACAAATTATAGCTTCGGTGTTTTTCAACCTCCAACGCTTGGAAATAACATTTTTTAATTAGTTCTGAATTTCGAATTTAATTTTATCAAAATCGGACGACTATATCATATAGCTGCCATAGGAACGATCGGAAAATTGGTAGGAAAATAATATGAAACAAATTATAGCTTCGGTGTTTTTTGACAAATTATCTTATACTATTGGGAATATAATTTTTTGTTTTTTTTAAATTTAATAATTATAGCTGCAAGGGTATATAAGCTTCGGCTTGCCGAAGCTAACTTCCTTTCTTGTTTTTGTTTCAATTTAAAACTGTCTTCTATTGTACTAAAAAACAGTTATTATCTTCCACAAGCCGGTGTTGCATATTTTACAGCGCATTCGAATTAACCTGAAGAGTTATTTGGTCTGAACTCAGTGTTAGTTCTTGACGCTCAATAACTTCTTAACACGTATTTTCTCGATAATGTGTAATACGTCAAAAGTTGAGGAATCTCTCTCTATCAAATGCACTATGGGGAATTTTGTGGCATTAACAAAATAGCAAAATTTAAAAGTTTTATTTTTTGAAATTAGTATATAAAATTTAAAGGAAGTAAAATAATAAAAATGGTCGTAGTCCCGCCTTTTTTTAAGAAAAAAATTTTTTATTTATTTATTTCCGTTTAGCTAAATCGCCCGATTTTTATTAAACTTTCCATATCGATGTGTTTTGGGCTCTGATTACGGGAAAAATAGTCTAAGTTGGCGCAAATAACGGGATCTTGGAAAATAACGGTAAAAACCGTAACATTTTAGGTTTTTTGCCTTTTTTCCGAAAGTATAACGAAAATCAAAATATGATTCAGACAAAAACAAAAGATATTCATAAAACCGATCCTTTTTGTTAGAATATTGCAATATCCCGCCATATATATGGCGTCAGATAGTTCCGATTAATCGATAACAGCATTTTATGTGAAGGACCTTTTTCGCCCTTTTTTTACGATATATCGTGTATATGTTCCTTTTTCCCATTTAGACAACTGAAATGCTCTGCCAACATTTACATTTTACTTATACTTTTCATATAGACTATACTATTTTAATTTCGTGTTCTCAAAAATGTTAATGCCGTTCTTGTATTTTGGTCGTACCATCACTAAAACAACGAGTGACATCGATATCGACACGCCGATACAACAACAAAGTCGCTTTGCTGCTTGAATATCTTCATCTCCTTTGCGCACCCTTTAATCTGGGTATCTGATAGTCGAGGTACTCGGCTACAGCGTTATGTCAATTGGTATACCCTTGCTGAGGGTATAATGCTTTCCAACGCAGTGTAGTATATATATTCTTGATCAGCATCACTAGACGAGTTCATCTAGCCATTTTGTCCGTCGGCACGCCACAATACAATATGTGTGTGTGGGCAATTATCTGTACGATTTTGATGAAGCGTCCAAAATAAAAAAAATTAGAAAGTGTATCTATTTGGTAGATATCAGAAGTTTTTAAAAAGACAATTAATTTCCTAGTGTTAGTTTTCATATTAGTATGCCCCAATACCATGACCCGAAGTCATGTCGATAAACACGAAACTAAACCCCAGTGTAAACGCAGCCTTATTTAACGTGGCCTATTTCGATATGTACTTTAACAGTGTTATTTATTATACCCTTGCAGAGGGTATATTGATTTCAGTCAGAAGTTTGCAACGCAGTGAAGGAGACGTTTCCGACCCTATAAAGTATATATATTCTTGATCAGCATGACTAGACGAGTCGATCTAGCCATGTCCGTCTGTCCGTCCGTTTCTACGCAAACTAGTATCTTAGTTTTAAAGCTATCGGGCTGAAACTTTCCCAAAAGTCTTATATCTTTTGCAGGTAGTATATAAGTCGGAACCAGCCGGATCGGACAACTATATCTTATAGCTCCCATAGGAATAATAGGAAAAACAAATTTAAAAAAATTATATCTTTGGTGTTTTTTAGCATATACCCTCCTAAGCTTGGAAATAACATTTTTTAATTAGTTTTGAATTTCGAATTAGATTTTATCAAAATCGGAAGACTATATCATATAGCTGCCATAGGAACGGTCGTAAAATTGGTGGAAAAATAATATGAAACAAATTATAGCTTCGGTGTTTTTCAACCTCCAACGCTTGGAAATAACATTTTTTAATTAGTTCTGAATTTCGAATTTAATTTTATCAAAATCGGACGACTATATCATATAGCTGCCATAGGAACGATCGGAAAATTGGTAGGAAAATAATATGAAACAAATTATAGCTTCGGTGTTTTTTGACAAATTATCTTATACTATTGGGAATATAATTTTTTGTTTTTTTTAAATTTAATAATTATAGCTGCAAGGGTATATAAGCTTCGGCTTGCCGAAGCTAACTTCCTTTCTTGTTTTTGTTTCAATTTAAAACTGTCTTCTATTGTACTAAAAAACAGTTATTATCTTCCACAAGCCGGTGTTGCATATTTTACAGCGCATTCGAATTAACCTGAAGAGTTATTTGGTCTGAACTCAGTGTTAGTTCTTGACGCTCAATAACTTCTTAACACGTATTTTCTCGATAATGTGTAATACGTCAAAAGTTGAGGAATCTCTCTCTATCAAATGCACTATGGGGAATTTTGTGGCATTAACAAAATAGCAAAATTTAAAAGTTTTATTTTTTGAAATTAGTATATAAAATTTAAAGGAAGTAAAATAATAAAAATGGTCGTAGTCCCGCCTTTTTTTAAGAAAAAAATTTTTTATTTATTTATTTCCGTTTAGCTAAATCGCCCGATTTTTATTAAACTTTCCATATCGATGTGTTTTGGGCTCTGATTACGGGAAAAATAGTCTAAGTTGGCGCAAATAACGGGATCTTGGAAAATAACGGTAAAAACCGTAACATTTTAGGTTTTTTGCCTTTTTTCCGAAAGTATAACGAAAATCAAAATATGATTCAGACAAAAACAAAAGATATTCATAAAACCGATCCTTTTTGTTAGAATATTGCAATATCCCGCCATATATATGGCGTCAGATAGTTCCGATTAATCGATAACAGCATTTTATGTGAAGGACCTTTTTCGCCCTTTTTTACGATATATCGTGTATATGTTCCTTTTTCCCATTTAGACAACTGAAATGCTCTGCCAACATTTACATTTTACTTATACTTTTCATATAGACTATACTATTTTAATTTCGTGTTCTCAAAAATGTTAATGCCGTTCTTGTATTTTGGTCGTACCATCACTAAAACAACGAGTGACATCGATATCGACACGCCGATACAACAACAAAGTCGCTTTGCTGCTTGAATATCTTCATCTCCTTTGCGCACCCTTTAATCTGGGTATCTGATAGTCGAGGTACTCGGCTACAGCGTTATGTCAATTGGTATACCCTTGCTGAGGGTATAATGCTTTCCAACGCAGTGTAGTATATATATTCTTGATCAGCATCACTAGACGAGTTCATCTAGCCATTTTGTCCGTCGGCACGCCACAATACAATATGTGTGTGTGGGCAATTATCTGTACGATTTTGATGAAGCGTCCAAAATAAAAAAAATTAGAAAGTGTATCTATTTGGTAGATATCAGAAGTTTTTAAAAAGACAATTAATTTCCTAGTGTTAGTTTTCATATTAGTATGCCCCAATACCATGACCCGAAGTCATGTCGATAAACACGAAACTAAACCCCAGTGTAAACGCAGCCTTATTTAACGTGGCCTATTTCGATATGTACTTTAACAGTGTTATTTATTATACCCTTGCAGAGGGTATATTGATTTCAGTCAGAAGTTTGCAACGCAGTGAAGGAGACGTTTCCGACCCTATAAAGTATATATATTCTTGATCAGCATGACTAGACGAGTCGATCTAGCCATGTCCGTCTGTCCGTCCGTTTCTACGCAAACTAGTATCTTAGTTTTAAAGCTATCGGGCTGAAACTTTCCCAAAAGTCTTATATCTTTTGCAGGTAGTATATAAGTCGGAACCAGCCGGATCGGACAACTATATCTTATAGCTCCCATAGGAATAATAGGAAAAACAAATTTAAAAAAATTATATCTTTGGTGTTTTTTAGCATATACCCTCCTAAGCTTGGAAATAACATTTTTTAATTAGTTTTGAATTTCGAATTAGATTTTATCAAAATCGGAAGACTATATCATATAGCTGCCATAGGAACGGTCGTAAAATTGGTGGAAAAATAATATGAAACAAATTATAGCTTCGGTGTTTTTCAACCTCCAACGCTTGGAAATAACATTTTTTAATTAGTTCTGAATTTCGAATTTAATTTTATCAAAATCGGACGACTATATCATATAGCTGCCATAGGAACGATCGGAAAATTGGTAGGAAAATAATATGAAACAAATTATAGCTTCGGTGTTTTTTGACAAATTATCTTATACTATTGGGAATATAATTTTTTGTTTTTTTTAAATTTAATAATTATAGCTGCAAGGGTATATAAGCTTCGGCTTGCCGAAGCTAACTTCCTTTCTTGTTTTTGTTTCAATTTAAAACTGTCTTCTATTGTACTAAAAAACAGTTATTATCTTCCACAAGCCGGTGTTGCATATTTTACAGCGCATTCGAATTAACCTGAAGAGTTATTTGGTCTGAACTCAGTGTTAGTTCTTGACGCTCAATAACTTCTTAACACGTATTTTCTCGATAATGTGTAATACGTCAAAAGTTGAGGAATCTCTCTCTATCAAATGCACTATGGGGAATTTTGTGGCATTAACAAAATAGCAAAATTTAAAAGTTTTATTTTTTGAAATTAGTATATAAAATTTAAAGGAAGTAAAATAATAAAAATGGTCGTAGTCCCGCCTTTTTTTAAGAAAAAAATTTTTTATTTATTTATTTCCGTTTAGCTAAATCGCCCGATTTTTATTAAACTTTCCATATCGATGTGTTTTGGGCTCTGATTACGGGAAAAATAGTCTAAGTTGGCGCAAATAACGGGATCTTGGAAAATAACGGTAAAAACCGTAACATTTTAGGTTTTTTGCCTTTTTTCCGAAAGTATAACGAAAATCAAAATATGATTCAGACAAAAACAAAAGATATTCATAAAACCGATCCTTTTTGTTAGAATATTGCAATATCCCGCCATATATATGGCGTCAGATAGTTCCGATTAATCGATAACAGCATTTTATGTGAAGGACCTTTTTCGCCCTTTTTTTACGATATATCGTGTATATGTTCCTTTTTCCCATTTAGACAACTGAAATGCTCTGCCAACATTTACATTTTACTTATACTTTTCATATAGACTATACTATTTTAATTTCGTGTTCTCAAAAATTTTAATGCCGTTCTTGTATTTTGGTCGTACCATCACTAAAACAACGAGTGACATCGATATCGACACGCCGATACAACAACAAGCATTCGTGCGATATATCCGGCAAAATGACGCAAATGCTCCAACGGTTTATTATTTTCAAACCTTGTGAAAATGTAGTCTTACTTAGCGTTTTTAACGAAAACTATGAGTAATAATAATACAATTTTTCTGTAAAACTATTACAGAAGAATTGTATAAAACATAAATTACTCATTTCTTTAATAGCTCTCATTTCTCCTTGGAAAACTTTTTGATTAAGTTAATATAATCGAAGATATTTACGAAAGAACAGTTTTTACCATTATTTTCCATGATCCCATTATTTACGCCAACTTTGACTATTTTTCCCGTAATCAGGACCCCAAATAACGTGGATATTGAAAATTTGAACGAAAGCGGGCGCTGGTGCTAAACGGAAGTTCACTCAAAATAATTATTGGAGTTTTTTACTTACCATTTTTTAAGTGGAATTGTATTTTTTATACTGTTGCCATTATAATGCTTAACAAAAATACTAAAATCCTTTATATCAACGTTAAGTTAATAGGAATGATGTTGTACAATAATTTTAAAATAATCGTTATTTAGTAAGAAATATAATTGCACCTTTTTTTTAATATAACATCGAAACTGGCATTTACCAGACAAAAATGTAAGATATGTACAGTATTAGGTACAGGTCTTACAAGCAAAATTTTGGAGAAAGCGCGCAAAAGTGCACTTTTATACCAACTGAGCCTAATGAGAATTAAATATTCAACCAGATAAAAAAGGTTTCAGCGGTGTCACAAATACAAGTTACAAGCCCCTCTGATTAGATTGTATTTCAAGAACTGCAGTGCTTTGTTTAGTTTTACACTTTTTGACAATTTAAGCTACTAAGAATATTAGGCGATTTACCAGCGCTGCCACCTCGTTGAAATAAAAACAGGCTTTCACAGCTGATAACTTAACAGTGGTGCGCACTGGTAAACTTTTCTGTTAGTAACATTTGAGATTGATGTTATCGTTATACATTCTGATAAACAAAACCAATTTCTATCGACTTTTAATAAATAATTTTTGGCCAAAAAAAGTGGTCAAATTCCCCATAGTGCAATGTATGGCCGATCACTCTGAACTCGGACCACTCATGAGGGTTTACAAAAGCGCCAGGGAGTCCTTCTCCTGTCCTCGATAGATGTCTCCCAGCGATGCGGTGGACGCCAAATTGCCCAGCTCGTCATCCTGGCCAGCCATTTAACTTTTTGGTAGTGCAGTGTTTGTAGTCCAGCCACCAAAAAGCACGTTGTGGTGTCCACGAAGTAAATAAATTCGAATTAGACAAACATCAAGTAAATACAATTGAATTTGAGATACTAACCATTTGCAAAATCAAATGAACGGCGCAAAATGTTCCACTTTGATATAAAAACTTTTCGTTGAATGTCAGAGTGGCCGCGTCAATTCTGTCAAAAATATCTTTAATACCATACAAAATACCATAAATACACAAAAAATACAAAGGCACAGTCATACATTTTTTTTTGAAGAGTTTTCGATTTTACGTTTGATATGATAAACCAATTAAATTGATACGAATTCATATCAATACATTACGAATTCATATCAATATGATACAAAATCATAACAATTACAGTTTATTTCTTGTCAAAAATTGTCCAAATCGGCCCATCCATCAAAAAGTTATAAGGAAATAAATAAATCGACGTTATGTGGCGCTGTTGCGGGGTGTACAATATTTGAAAAGTCGCTGCTTGTATATCTCCATCTCCCTCGCACTCCCACAAGCTGTTCTTTCTTGTGTTTTTAACGACAAATTATTATTTGAGTTATACAAAGTATAACAAAAACTTTGCAAAATCCGAAGTAGAAAAAAAAATGGTTTCTGAAAAGGCAAAGGCATAAGGAAAACAAAAGCACGCCTGTATTAAGAGGTTTCAAAAACTATTACAAGATGTCGCTTTTAATCGACAGAAGACAATTTACCCGACTATGTCGTTCCTTCTTGATCCTTCGTTAGCAGGATAAACAAGGAAGAACGCTTTAGTCGAGTACCTCGACTGTCAGATACCCGTTACTCAGCTAAAGGGAGCAAAGGGAAATGGAGTTATGCAAGCAGCAAAGCGAGATTGAAATGCGCATCCTACTTGCGATATCAATATATGGTTATGTGGGCGGTAGGCAGATTTAAGCGTTATGGGCGTTAGAGTGGGCGTGTCAAACTTTTTTTTTTGGTCTTTCGATAGGTATTGACGAGACTAAAACATTTCAGTTAAAATTTTTTTCTTGCGTTAGAGTGGGCGTGGCATATTTGCGCTGCGTACAAGGCTACGGTATCTAAATCTGAAATCCCAATTCTCTATCTTTTACTGTGTTTATGCGATGCCGAATTCACGCTTTCATTTCGCGATTTCAGCCGATTCGTGTGTGCATAAGCGCAATTTCGTGAATTCGGCAACACACGAAAGTTGACTATGAATTCAACCTGAAAGCATTTCAAGAATATATATACTTTTAGGGTCGGAAACGCTTCTTTCAACCTGTTACCTACCAATAAACCGTTTATGGTTGGAATGCCAATTTTATAACATTTTCAGAAAATCATAAAAACTATTAGCAAAGAGATTTTTGAAAAAATATTTTTGCAGGTACTATTAGTTTTGTGTTGATAAACTTTAAGCATCAACAAATTTTAGTTTTCATGCCGAGGAAAAAAGTTTTAAAAAGTAAACTTTTACAAAAAGTAAACTTATACAAAAAGTAAACTTTTACAAAAAGTAAACTTTTACAAAAATTCGTTATTTTCAAAAGGCTAAATGGGTTAAGAAAATGCTTGTATCATTCAAACGGAATTTAAATGACCTCTCCGTTGGTGCATAATGTACATGAAGAAAGATCAAATTGTGAGTATATTTAACTTTCGATTTGTAAAAATACTTATGCGCACTAGTGCAGGTGTTGTGGCAACGTATGCTTATGGTAATAAAATTAACTTAATTATGTCGTCCTGTGTAATAAAGCTCAGTATTATAATAAAACATTTTTTTAAACCAAGCAAGGAAGAACGCTATAGCAAAGCGAGTTTGTAATGCGCCACATACCCGCGATTTCAATATACGTACAGCTGCGAAAAAAATAGTAGCACCACTTACTCGAGCAATGTTTGGATAGTCACCCTACCTATATTTTTAACTCTGTCAAAACATGCAATGCCTTTTTGGAATCGAATTGCAACAAAGTTTTTAAGTTTTTAAATTATTTAAGAAACTTTATTAAAACTTGAAAAACTTAACGAAAAAAAAAAAGCTCCACTTTTCAAAAATGAGTTTAAAATTATAGGAACTACCAATATTCATGAGGCAACAATATTGAACTGTCAAATCTATGTTAATATTCTTCATTTAATACTTTGTGGTGTATCCTTTATTGGAAATAACATCTGCGCAGCGTCTTGGCATGGGGTCAACTACGTTCTTGCATCGCTTTATAGAAATTTGAGTCCAGGACTCCCTAATTACTCCCCAAAACATTCCTCCACTGATCGGGTGACCTATTTGCGTGATCCTTGGCAAACTTCATTCGCTTAGAAATATGTCTGGTATTTAAAAGTGGTACCTTTCTCGGGCTGCAGGCTTTTAGGTTATGTTCCCTGAGATATGTACGCACAGTTTGCACCGTCCCATTTATTTTAAGCTCCTTTTTAAGCTCAGTAGCAGATTTGAAAGGATTCTTCTTGCTCTGACGAATCAATCGATTGACGTGAAGTGGGGTCATAGATTGGTTTCGTCCTCGTGTTTCAGGTTTTTCTTTATAGTTTAGAGCGTTCTTAATCATTTTATTTAAACATCCGACCAATCGACCTACTACTCTGTAAGATTTTCCATCCTTTATCAACTTTTGGATGATAGCACGCTTTTCCTCAGTGCAATGCTTTCCACGTCCCATTTCATGGTATTATCAAACTTTTTATGTTCAAAATATTGAATTTATAGATAAATTTAATTGACCCGTGCATTGTATTAAGGCTATTCGCCAAAATATGGGGTTTTTGCTAATAAATGATGTAGTGGTGCTATTTTTTTTCGCCTTTTTTTGGGCTTTTTTAATAAAACTCTTAAAAATAAATTTATAGGCAGGATTTAAAAATAAGCTAACACATTTTTTCGTTAGAAAGAATACTAAACAGTACAAAAAAATTTTGTGTTGAAAAAAAACAAACACTGAAAACAATTTTATTTTACCCAGAAGAAAATGTATTGAAGTGGTGCTATTATTTTTTTCGCCACTGTATGGTTATGTGGGCGGCGGACAGATTTAAGCGTTATGGGCGTTAGTTCGGGCGTGGCAAACTTTTGGTGGGTCAATCGATAGGTATTGACGAGACTAATACATTTCAGTTAAATTTTTTTTCTAACATTAAAATTGTGGGCGCCACAGGTTCGGTCGGTTTGTGGGCGTTTGAGTGGGCGTGGCATATTCGCGTAACAAACTTGAGCTGCGTACAAGGCCACGGAACCTAAATCTGAAATCCCAATTCTCTATCTTTGATAGTTTCCGAGATATCCGCGTTCATACTAACGATTTTTTAAAGTTTGTGGGTGGTTTGTGGGCTTGTGTGTGTTTTTTTGGGTCAATCGATAGGTATTGATAAAAACAATACATTGCAGTTAAAATTTTTATTCTAGCATCAAAACTGTAGGAGCCACAGTTTTGGGCGGTTTGTGGGCGTTAGGGTCGACGTGGCACTCTGCTGAACCAAACTTGCGCTGAGCAGGAAGCCCAAGATCTGCATGCCAAATTCCAATAGCCTAGCCTCTTTTTAGTTTCCGAGACCTCAGCGTTCATACGGACGAACGGACAGCCGGACAGACGGACATGGCTAGATCGACTCGGCTAGTGATCCTGATCAAATATATATATACTTTATGGACTCGGAAACGCTTCCTTCTGCCTGTTACATACTATCCGACAAATCTAGTACACCCTTTTACTTTACGAGTAACGAGTATAAAAACTAGTGCCTTTTTGCTGATTAAAATCTGTTAGTGGCATACAAGCATTAATTAAAATTGGACGGAAATTGGAAAAAATCCATACCTTGGTAATTAAAATGTATTTAGAAAAAAATTGAAAGTAAAGGGCAACAGGTAAAATTCAGTCGCTATATTAGCTTGACAGGCGCACTCTTGCGGGTGAAAATTACCAAACATGACACGCACCCCCTAGATTTCAAGCGAAAAAGCAACCGAGCAACCGTTTCCTGGGTGAACTATGTACGTAAGTCACACAACAGCAACTATGTATATGAAGACTTGTCACAGTCGGAAGCAGGACACTGCAAAAAATTCATTAAAAGCCATCAAAAAATTATTAAACAGCAGCATTAGTTATTTCAGTATTAGTTATTTATTTCTCCGTTTTAAACATCTTAAAGGTTTAAAAACTAAATATACATTTCTTAATTTCATTAGAACCAGAAAGATAGTTAACTTTAGCAAGTCGCTGTTGATATACCCTTTTAGCTTAAACCATATCAAGCAACTTAACGAAAAACAAGCCCATTAGGCTTGTTTGAAGCCTAAATAGACTTGAAAATGACACAGTTACGAAATTAGCTTATTTTTCCATTTCAAGGTCGTTTTCTGTATAAACCAGCATTCGTAATTTGAGAACATTTTCGGACGAAATCAAGTATGAAATTTTTTCGATCTAAGAATTTTTCATGCTTATATTAAATATGATTTTTTTTTAAATTAAACCTGAATTATAGAAAAAGTTGAGAGTTTAAAAAAATATTTAAATTTGCTATTAAGTGAGAGTTTTGTAAAATTGTTTGTACATATATAATTCGATTTTATCATTAATCAAGTACAAGTTATTCTCAAATGAAGTATGAAATATTCTTAAACCATTTTAGTCATCTTACACTAAATAACTAATAAATGTATAAGGATTAGCAAATAAAAATGTTTTTATACTTACGAAACATATTTATGAAAATCACATACCTCTCAAAGGATTCGATCTCGAAACCTCTCGAACTACAGGCGGCCACGCTCGCTCTTTCGCGTTGATGACCTAAACATAGAAAAGTGTTTTTAATTTTTCATGCTTAACTTAATTGCAAAATGTACTTGTATTGAGCATTTAATTCTTAATGGTAAATACTATTAAATTCGTTTTGTTACTATATGTAAATTATTCTTTACTCTAGAATGTATGTGAACGAAATGGATCTATATTTTTAGATTTTTGTTACTTAAGGGCAATTTTATCTACTGATAAAAATAATTTATTTCTTATTTAAAGATATTATCGCCTGTTTTATTTGAAATACCAAGAAAAATATTTTTTTAAATATATTATTCCTAGGCTTAGCTGAAAACGTACTTGTTTTGTGCTGTTTATTAAATATTGATTTATTCTTGATTCAAGAACG